GCTGCATGTCAGGCTAGGGCATCGCAGCAACAAGACCCTCATCGACGTGCTCAAGCGGGCTGGCGCTCAAGGCCCTATCTTGAAATTAGCAGCTGAGTTCAGGTGCGAGGCGTGCGAGCGGCACAAGAATAAGCCGATGGAGTCCGTGGTTGCGCCATACAGCCCGGCCACACCAGGGAAGGCTATCGAGACGGACGGCTTCTACTGGACGGACCCTCGCGACAAGCAGACCTGGACTGGGACCTACATCGTCGATGCAGGCACTCGGCTCAGCGGCGGGAAGCTCAACCTCAAGGGCCGACTCATGAGGTCAGGCGAGGAGTTCCGCAAGACGCTGCAGCAGACGTGGATGCAGTACTACGGCAGACCTGCTCTACTACGCCTGGACGGTGAAGGCTGCCATGTCGAGAAGAGAGTCAAGGAGTGGCTATCGTCGCGCGGCATCATGGTGGACGTCACCGCCCGGCAGGCTCACAACCAGCTGGCGCTATGCGAGAGGAATATCGGCATCTTAAAGGATACCATGACCAAGATCGCAGAGGAATCCGACGCCAAGGTTACCGCGGATGAGATTTTCTGGGAGGCGATCGCCGCCATGAACGATCTCGGCAGGTACAAAGGCCACAGTCCCTACGAGATGATGCTGGGCAGGACCCCGGAGCCGATCGTGGGCGACGTGTTCGGCGAAGATCACAACCTGCCGATCCTCAGCAAGACCTACGAGGCCGACGACGACGAGTACATCAAGAACCAGAAGGTGCGACTCGAGGCGAGGAAGGCTTTCCTCGAGGTTACTTCTAGACGACGTCTTGCCCTACTGGAGCTACGCAAGACCAGAGAGAAGACGCACTGGACTACAGGGCAGCTCTGCTACTGGTGGTCCGAGAAGGCGAAGGGCAACGTCAAGATGCCTGGTGGAGTTTGGGCTGGCCGGGCGACCGTCATCGCCCAGGAGCCCGGCTCGGACGGCAATCCAGGGTCAGTCGTCTGGATAGAGCACCACGGCCGACTTCTACGAGCAGGACGTGGCCACCTTCGACCAGCTACCGAGACGGAGATCGAGATCCACAAACTTCTTCATGGAGAGGCTGTTCCTCTTAACATCACCGCTGCCATGCTGAAGGTCAAGGCTAGCGAGTTCGAGGACCTGATCGGACAACGCCTTCCAGATCTCGACGATGAAGATGACGCTTGGGTGATGGAGCCAGAGGATCCCTTTCCGCAGAAGGCGGGAGGTGGGCAGCCAGCCGCTGCCGAGACTCAGGCGACCGAGGCGCCTACGACATCGGAGCCTGCAGGGGCAGCCGAGACCAAAGAGGAGGATACGAAGTCCGAGGATAAAAAGTCAGAGAAGGAGGACGACCTTTCATCGGAAGATCTCGAAGCGCCAGAACCACCAGGCCACCTACCTGAAGACCTACCTGTACCTGGAGTTCGGCGACGCCACGAAGCTGAAGAAGACGCCGCAGCCAAGAAGTCGCGCCAGACTACGAGAACCGGAGCTAAGCGCGGGAGAGACCTGGATGAGTTCGACAAGCGGATGACCAACGATCCCAACTCAGTTCAGAAGACCAGCGAGGACCAGGACGTCACCACCGAGCGCCAGGATGCCGTCTACCTGTCTATCGCGGTCCCCTCCCGGGATGCCCTCAACCGCTTCGTGAAGGACCCCAGGCTATACGTGGCTACACAGGCCAGGAGGCAGCGCATCGAGGTCCTCTACAAGAAGCTGGACGGCAAGGACAAGGCGAAGTTCGACGTGGCTATGAAGAAAGAAGTTGATCAATTTCTACTCGCGCAGGCGTGCAGAGGTGTACTTCGGAGCAAGCTGCCGGACGTCGACCTGATGAAGATGCGCTGGGTACTTACTTGGAAGGAGGATCCAGAAGCGGAAGGCGGCAAGAAGGCCAAGGCCAGACTGGTACTCATCGGCTACACCGACAAGGACCTCGAGACGCTCAAGACCGAATCGCCAACGCCCTCGAGGCGAGCGCGCCAGATGCTATACCAGAAGGCGGCCAACGAGAAATGGAAGACGTGGCTTGCGGATGCTTCGTCAGCTTTTCTGCAAGGGGAAGCTGCAGAGGAAGAGCGAGAGCTTTATGCACTACCAGTACCACAACTACGAGAAGCACTACAGCTCAACGACGACGACGTCGTGCATATTCTCAAGGCCTGTTATGGACTTACGAATGCACCCAGGCGGTGGTACGAGAAGGTCAAGAAGGATCTAGAGAGCAGAGGCTGGTATGCATGCAAGCTCGAGCCGTGTCTCTTCACCAAGCTGAACTCAGACAACAAGGTGATCGGGCTCATCCTGGTGCACGTGGATGACTTCCAGATTGCGGGTGACCTCGCCAACGTGGAGTTCAACGTGGAGTACGAGCATCTCAAGACGCTATACCGATGGGGCATGTGGAAGTCAGACGAGAATGGCTATTCAGTTTGTGGAGTTGAAGTTTCCAGAAATCCAGATGGAGGCTTTAGGCTAAGTCAAGAAAAGTATGCCAAGACCATCCAGCCGATCAACGTCAAGAGAGGCCGAAAGGCTAGTCCGGACGACAAGCTGACAGCCGGAGAAGTGACTGCATGCCGTGCCATCCTTGGTCAAGCTCAATGGCTTTCAACACAGACGATGCCTCAAATTGCTGTGCACGTTTCTATGCTACAAGCGGTGGTCAACAGCGCGACGGTCAAGGACCTCGGCAGGATCAACCAGCTGGTCAAGACTATTCACGAGTTTGCGAGCACAGGAGTTACCATACATCCTTATAAGCAGATGGCGTGGGTATGTTGGTTCGATGCATCGTGGTGTTCAAGAGCAGATGGGAGCAGTCAAGGAGGCTATGTTGTGTGCACTACCGAGGTGGAGGCGCTCAGCGGCAAGAAGCAGAAGTTCACGGTATTCACGGGAGCTTCCAAGAAGCTGACACGAAAGTGCCGTTCATCATTGGGTGCAGAAATCCAAGCAGCTAGCGAGGCCGCGGAGGAGCTGGAGTATACACAGCTAGCTTGGATGGAAATGTTGAGCGCAGATGTGCAGCTCAAGGGCGACAAGCGCTACGACATGATCAAGAAGGGACCGCAGAGCGTTCTAGTCACGGACTGCAAGAGCCTCTACGATGCAGTTACTGGTTCGGAGAGTTCAGCACTGGGTCTCAGCGACAAGCGCGCCGCTATCGAGTGCATGGCGTTCAAACAAGGAGTTCAAGAGTGCGGTGCCGAGCTTCGTTGGGTTCATTCTCATGCGCAGGTAGCAGACGGTTGCACGAAGATAAAGTACGAGGCGCAGAAGCTATTAGACGTTTTCATGTGCAGGAGCTACTGGACGCTAGTTCACGACCCGGAGTTCGAGTCTGCGAGGAAGCGAGGTCTGAAGGGGCTCGATATTCTCGCCGAGAAGCCGACACTCGCAGAGGAACCACAAGATCATGCTGAAGGGTGAGTTTGGCCAGGTGGTTTCTTATCCATATCGCTCGCCTTCGCGAGGTTTCTGATTTCATTCAGCTGAGTTTCTGCGACAATGTAGCTTTACATATCTGCCCGCTCCGCGGGGATTTTATTTCATATTTCAGATCTGCTCGCTTCGCGAGATGTATGCGAGAGTAGCGCCGCTACCAGAGATGATTTTCATGCAGGATCGAAGGCCAAAAGGATTTTCCCCTGTGTGTTTTGTATAGTGCAGTTGGCCTTCCGATCCGAGACGCCCCGAGACCGAGCGACTGTTGCTGCTGTTTCGGTCCGAGGGCGCCCTTGAGTCCCGGTAAGGCTACCGGGCGCGGCCGACTGGCCACGCACTTACCAAGTGAGTGACTGTTTCAGCCGACCAGGGGCTAGCGAGATATCTTGCAGATTGTTGTGTCGCTGGCGCGAGCTGTGGAGGAAAAGATTATCAAGATAATCATCTACGAGAAGATCATCAGCAGGCTTACGCCAGTGCCGACGATTTAGCCCCCCACCCCCCGCAAACAACCTGGCCCCTCCTGGCGCGGTGTGAGGCCACAGGATGCAGACGTGCCGGCGGACGCGGGCCGGCCTCCAATCGGGAACCTTGAGACGGGGGTCACTGCAAACGGGGGTCAGCCACGGCACCGGATCCTGCAGGATCCTGCGAAGACCCCCTCTGGCTGACCCGGGTTAGCGAGCCGCTCGTGGTCGCGAGGCGGCCGCGCATATTGGCTGACCCGGGTTTGCGAGTCGAAGACCTGCGTTGCAGTTTTTTGTTTTTGTTTTCCTGCCTTGCAGTTTTTGGTTTCCTGCTGACCCGGGTCTGGATTGACCCGGGTCAGAAGCTCCCCGATCCAAGGCTGGCCGGCCCCATCGTGCTATCGGACGCGGTGGGTTCGCCGGTGCGTTCGCTCAGAGCCCGGGGGGCGCCGCCCTCGCGACGGGCGGGGTGAGCGGGGAGGGAGAGAGCGCGAGGCGTGGCGAGCCAGGGAGTGGCCGAGGGCAGTGAGCGGGCGGGGAGGAGCTGGGCGGGGCCGGGACGAGGACGAGTCCGTGCCAGAGCGTTCCGGGAGGCACTTAGAGCGCTGCGAAAGGCTCAGAGGAGGCCGCGGCGCCCGCTGACATCCTGCAGAGCCACCCGATCTCAGAGATTCTCGACTTGCCCTCGCCCGATTTCATCCTCGCCCTGGCTTCGTCGTAATAAGGGAAAGGGATAATTAGGAGGCCACATGCGAACCCTGCCCCACCACCCCACGACTTCTGAGGGGGGAGGTGGGGCTCACCTCGCTCGGAAGGCCCCGAACGCAGCGAACCCCGCCTCCCCCCTGAGAAATCGTGGGGTGGTGGGTTAGAGCTCGCATGTGGCTTGGCATCGCTCGGACGTGTGCATTTTGTCTCGGCGGGGACCATCGAGGAGCATCTTCGATCATTTAGCGAAAAATACACGCACGAAATCGAAAAATGCACGGGGAATGGACGTCCGAGCGATGGCGAGGTGGCCTCCTAGGAAGGAGGCCAGGGAGCGCGGCGGCGGCGGAGGGGGCGGCCCGGAGGCGGAGCCTGCCGCACGCTCGCGGCGCTGCTGGCGGCGGCCTCCCCGGAGGCGGGTTTCCGCGCGCGGCGCACCGGCGGGCGCAGAGCGCCCGGCGGGGGCGGCGGGTTCGGCGGGGGGCGGGCGCGGGGACGATTTGTTCGCACGGGGGATCACATCGGAGGAGGAGCGAGTCTTTCTTTTCCCTGGGGCTGCTCCTCTTAGCCCCTTCGCCTCTCCCTCTCGTCCCCTTCTCTGCCTCTCCCGCCTCTCCTCCTCTCCCCTATCTCCGTCTTCTCCTCTTCTCCTCCTCTTCTCCTCTTCTCTCCCTCTTCTTCTCCTCTTCCTTCTCCCTCTTCTTCTCTTCTCCTCCTCTCCCTCCCCCTCTCATATCCGCCTTGTCCTCCTCCCCCTCTTATCCCCTTCTCTTCCTACCCCCACCCTGCTCCTCGCGCCCCTTCTGCTGCTGCCCCTTCGCCCGACCCGTAGCCATCGAATGAGGATCGAGAGAGATGGAGGAAGGACACTAGTATAACGCTACAGCTACTAACAATAACACTAAGAAGAAACATACTTTTACACCACACACTACTATTAATCAGACAACGAATTATAATAAGGCGCCGGAGGACGATTAATAATGATACGAATAATAGTATGGAGAGCACGGTTCATACAAAACAATAGTAATGCCAATGATACGATTGCGATGAACACTGCGAAATATAATCAGTAACCATAGGACGGCGAATTGTGTTCATAAGAAGGATAAGCTCGTTCATGATACTAAGAAGAAGACGACGGATACGTACTTATCATAACAATATCATAACTACGAGTGGTAAGAACAATGCTTGCAATAAGCACACTCAGCCTAATCATGCGGCTCATAAATCGAAGCAGACTTCTGATAATGAAATGCATAATACTGGTGAGACGAATAATACTTAGTCGAACAATGAGCATGCGACTACTTGTGATCATAATATATATATATATATATATATATAATACTCGTAGTAATCATACCAAAAATGATACGAATACTCGTGCCACTAATGATAATAGCAATGGCACTGATAATAATAAACAGAAGAAGACGAGGCGGAGGAGGAGGATTAAGTCGGCGGCGAGCGAGGGGGGGGGGCTTGAGAAGGAGTAGGCCTTCTCAGAAGGCGGCGGGGCTTCTCAGAAGCCCTCCGGCCTTCTGAGCAGTTTTCTGTGCCTTCGAGGAAGGTTGAGGAAACTTCTCAGAAGGCCAGGGAACTTCGAGCCTTCTGAGAAGGTCCGTGCCCTCTCACATCTCCCCCCCAGACGCGCCGCCGAGCAAAAGGAGGACGAGGAGGAGGAGGACCAGTGCAAACCTAAGACTGATCATCGATGGTGCAAGAATCCGTTCCCCCAAGTTCCCTCATCATGGGTCCCCGCAAGGATTCTTCTTCACTGGGGGAAGTGCGCCGATGGAAGGCGACTGGCTGAACATCTTGAACAGTGCCAGATTTCCGTCCTTGAGACTTCAAAGCCGCAAATCAATGTTCCTGTTGCGTCCTGACGACGCCGTTTCTGGGATGTCAACACCGCGAACCAACGTGACTGTTGCGCCCTGACACTCCAACATTGGCCAACACACAATTTCTGGGAAGTCAGCCATAATATCCTTTGAAAATGAGAATGTGCGCGGTGCTAAGGCGAGAGCCACATTTTGAAAAAGGGATCGCCTTCCATCAGTGGAGCCCCTTGAAACGTTTAAGACGAATGTGCGCGGCGCTACTGGAGGATATACATTTCGAAGACCATCCGCCCTTCATCCGTGAAATCTTGCAAACTTAAGACGAATGTCTTCGGCGCAAAGGCGAGAGCTACATATTGAAAACGACCCGCTGTGCCATCCATGGAAGTTCTACAAAACTCGAAGTCGAATGTGTGCGGCGCTTCGGGAGGAACCACGCTGTGAAAACGACCTGCCCCACATCCGTGAAACCCATGTAAGCTTTAAGACGAATTTGCGCGGCGCTAGGGCGAGTGCCACATTTTGAAAACCACGCGCCCTCATTTCGTGAAACTCCTGCAAACTTTGGAGACGATTGTGCGCGGCGCTAATGCGAGTGCCACATCTTCAAAACCACCCGCCATCCATTCGTGAAAAGCGACCTGTTAAGCTTAAGGATCATGAGTGGTGAGAAGTCTCAGACGAAACGCACGGCCCGCCCCACCGAAACGATTCGGGATGCGAGAGGGAGGAGTTACTTAAAAGGAAACGGGATGGAGGAGGGGGAGGGGGAGGAGGAGCAGGAGGAGGAGGAGGAGGAGGAGGAGGAAGAGGAGGAGGAGGAGGAAGAGGAGGAGGGGGAGGAAGAGGAGGATGAGGAGGAGGCGGAGCGGAGGCGGAGGCGGAGGGCGTAGGGCGTAGGGCGGAGGCGGAGGCGGAGGCGGAGGCGGCGGGGGAGGAGGAGGCGGCGGAGGCAGCGGAGGAGGAGATGGAGAAGGAGGAGAACGAGGATGAGGACGAGGACGAGGACGAGGACGAGGACGAGGTCGAGGAGGAGGAGAACCAGGAGGAGGAGGCGGAGGAGGAGGAAGAAGAGGAGGAGAAGGCGGAGGAGGAGGAGGAGGAGGAGGAGGAGGAGGAGGAGGAGGAGGAGGCGGAAGCGGAGGCGGATGCGGAGGCGGAAGCGGAAGCGGAGGCGGAGGCTGAGTCAGAGGCGGAGCCGGAGGAGGAGCCGGAGGCGGAGGCGGAGGCGGAAGCGGAGGCGGAGGCGGAGGCGGAGGTGGAGGCGGAGGCAGAGGCGGAGTCGGAGGCGGCGGAGGCGGCGGAGGCGGCGGAGGAGGAGATGGAGAAGGAGGAGAACGAGGACGAGGACGAGGACGAGGTCGAGGACGATGACGAGGACGAGAGCGACGACAACGACGGCGACGACGACGACGTGGATGGGCGAGGACAAATGGGAAGGGGAGGGAGATCAGGAAGGGAACGGGGGGAAGGAAGATAGGATGAGGGGGTGGAGGACGAGGACGAGGACGAAAACGAGGACGAGGACGAGGAGGACGAGGAGGAGGAGGAGGAGGAGGAGGAGGAGGAGGAGGAGGAGGAGGAGGAGGAGGAGGAGATGAGGAGGAGGAGGAGGAGGAGGAGGAGGAGGAGGAGGAGGAGGAGGAGGAGGAGGAGGAGGAGGAGGAGGAGGAGGAGGAGGAGGAGGAGGAGGAGAGGAGGAGGAGGAGGCGGAGGAGGAGGAGGAGGAGGAGGAGGAGGAGGAGGAGGGAGGAGGAGGAGGAGAGGGGGAGCAGCAGGAGGATGAGGAGGGGGGCCCGGCCACCTCGCGAACAGATGTCTCCGTTCGCACTCGTTCGCCAGCCTGCTCCTCCTTGTGTCTCCTCCCTTCTCCCTCTTCCTCCCTGCCCTGTGCCCCCCCCCTTCCATCTTTTTTCCTCCCTTCGCCCTCCTCACTCCCTTTCTCGTCCATCCTGCTTCCAATCTCTTCCTTTCACCTTCTCACTCTCCCTTTCCTCCCCCACACCGCCCCTCCTCCGTCCTGGTACCCTTCTTTCTCCTTCTCCTCCTCCCCCGCTGTGAGGTGACGGGCGCCCTGGCAGCCACCTTCCCGGAGGATGAAGATGATGATCTTCTCAGCTTCAATGCTGCCATCGACGCCTGCGTTCGAGCGGGCGACGCCAGTGGCGCAGAGGAGGGACGGGAAATGAAAGAGGGGAGAGGGACAAGCCAGGTGCGCTCGCGTCATATCTGACGTTCTATCCCTCCCTCCCATCCCTTACCATGGCGTAGATCTCCTTTCTATTCGCACAATCGGATGTCGTAGCATGGCATATCATTCCATGGCATATCATGGTGTTGATGATCAACGCGTAACATGACATATCATGGCGTGGCGACGCCCCAAACATCAACGAATCGACACCGAATGTGTAATCACTTCCGATGTTTTTTTCGAGAGGCCATTTTCTAGATAGGGGGCCTGTTTGGAAGGACCGAAGACCATGCCGTTGTATGGCACTGGAAATACTGACGCCAGCGCTGCAGCGGGATCACGATTCGGAACGAGCGGAAGCGCGGAAATGAGGCCAGCGCTGCAGCGGCAGCACGATTCGGAACGAGCGGAAGCCCGAAGATGAGGCCAGCGCTTCAGCGGGAGCAGCCTTTGAAACAGAAGCCCCCAAGCGAAACCCGCTTCACGGGAAGCCTGCTTGTATAAAAAACAGTACGCGGAGGGGGGCCGGATATCTTCAGAGAGGGGATATCCGTGCAGATGAGCCAACCGCGCCCCCCCTTTCGCTTTGTTCTCCTCCTGCTGCCCTCCCGCTCCCTCCGCTCTCTGCTCTGGGCGCGTCTCTCCGTCTCTCGATCCTCTTCGCCGTCTCTCTCCTGCTCCTCCTGCTCGGCTCCTCCTCCCTCTTTCCCCTCGGCGTGCCCCTCCGCCCCCCCTCTCCGCCTCCTCCGTGCTGTTCCTCCTCTTCCTTCCCCCTCCTGCTCCTCCCATCCTCCGGAGGCCCAGAGGTTGACACCAACACGAATATCGGCGGTGTGGCTCCACCGACGGAAGGTGCTCCCGATCTCGATGATGGCCGAAAGATTACCACCAACACCAAAGTCTCGGATCATTCTCCCCCGATGGACGCAACCCCTTGTTTTGGTATTGGTGCCCAATTCCAAGCCTCCAGCTCCTCCACCCCTTCTCCTCCAGTGTTCTGTGCGTGGCCCCCGTTCCTCCGAGGAGAAGCTGCAGGAGATGCTGCGGGCAGGCCTGAGGCCAGACACGGTCTTAGGGTGGGTGCGACTATGTTCCCGTTCGGGGCGCAGGAGGATGAGGAGTGTGAGGGCAGGCGGATAGTGACGAGTAGGAGGACGACCACGGAAGGCGAAGCCGGGAGAGGAAGAGCATGAGGAGCATGTGGAGGAGGAATGTGTGGTTACAGGAGGAGGAAGAAGCGGAACCGCATCAGCTGTGGGGGGTTGATGATGATTATGATGATGATGATGCTGATGATGATGCTGATGATGATGATGATGATGATGATGATGATGATGATGATGATGATGATGATGATGATGATGATGATGATGATGATGATGATGATGATGATAATGGTGACCCCGTAGGACGATCTCGCTTGACCCAGCATAGTGTAACGAATGCTTGTAATGATAATGATGGCGATGGCGCTGCTGGCCAAACTGATGATGTGATGACGACGGCGGAGACACTGATGATGTGGTCGATGACGATGCCGATTGTGCTAATGAGGATGCAGAGTTGCGTGTGCAGAATTTATATTCGGATGGTCAACTGACCTGCGATTCGGGCTTCGCATGTGTTTGAACACCGTGTTGATATGCTAAGATAGGTGTTGGAAGGATCGCGACGTGCGCGCGCGGAGAGACGGGCGAATGGCCCGTATTGCACGATGTGACAGAGTTGGCCAGTGCGCGATGATTGTTGACAGTCTTGAACTTGCGCGCGCGTGGCCCGCATGCTCGCATTTGACATGACTAACTGCCGACGGTTTCCTTGTGCTTTCAGAGAGCGTGCGCGCGCAGAAATCAGTCAAAGTTTGGTTGCAATGCGTGAGTTGTCATGCGTTGCTGTTTAAGCGATTTGATGGAATGTGTTAGAAGCTATTCGTTCTATATTCTGGTTTTGACGTGCACCACACAGTATTTGTTGTAAGGGATTCTGACAGGAAGCCCTTCTGATATCACCGCGCGTGCACCGCGTAATGTTGTTTGACAGGGATAAGGGGGAGGCGGCAGTACCAGGGTTGGCTGGCATGTTTGTTTGTTTGTGGATTTGTTTGATGAGCGGCCGTGTGGAATACATACCAAAACGTGGACTGCGGATGGGAACAGCCCCGATGGGTGGGGGTTGGGTGGGGTGTGTCTGGGGAGTGGGGTCGAGTATTCTTCTTGCACTCGAGAATGAGTACACGGGCGGGCAGTCTTTAGGCGGGACCCCATGACATAGACCCTTCGGCCCGACGGGCTGGACCCCGAGGCCAGGACCTTGCGGCCAGGACCTTATGCCCGATGGGAGGAGAGCTTTGGTCTAGACCCCCCAGCAGCCCTCGAAAGTGACGACCGTTTCGCAGATCGCAGCCCCCCAAGGATGGCGAGGTTTAATTTGAGTGTGGGTGAGAAGCCCCCCCGCTGGACCCCCCAGCAACCTTCGAAGGTGGGGATAGTTTCGCAGATCGCAGCCCCCCAGGGATGGCATGTCGAATCTGAGCCTGAGTAAAACTTCTTTCCGCTGGACCTTCGAGCAGTTCCCGAAAGTGGCGATAGTTTTGCAGAGCACGGCCCTCCCCCAGGGATGGCGAGGTCTCTTTGGAATCAGGGGAAGACGTCGCCCCGCTGTACCCCCCAGCGCCGTCGTAGGTGGCGACAGCTTCGCAGATCCCAGCCCCTTCGTGAATGGCGGGGTCTCAGTTGAGCCCTGGTAAGACGCCACTCCGCTGCCCCCCCAGCAGCCCTCGCACGTGGTGACAGTTCTGCAGATCGCAGCCCCCCAGGGATGGCGAGGTCGAATCTGAGTCTGGGTATCACGTCGCTCCGCTGCACCCCCTGGCAGCTTTCGAAAGTGTCGACAGTTTCGCAAATCGCACCCCCCCAGGGATGGCGAGGTAGGAAACAAGCTGGCGCGCAACAAGGAACGAGGTAAGAAGCAGGCAGGAAATATGAAAGGAGGAGGCGGGCGGGGAGGAGCGGAGGCGGGAGGAGGCGGAGCACGCAGTGCTCTATCCAAAACGAGTGCCCAATTCAGGAGGGTTGGTAATTATTGTTGATCCCCCCTCCGGTAGCCATTCTATTTTTCCGATCGAAGTACCCATCCCGGGGCTCCCGGGGTTCGCGCCCCGTTTTTATTAGGTGAAGTCTTGGGCCTCAAACTGGGCGGCGGCCCCCGAACAACAACAACACCAACAACAAAAACACCAACAACATCAGCAACAACAACAACACCAAACACAACAACAGCAACAGCACCACCACCAACAACAACAGCAACAACAACATCAACAACACCAACAACACCAACAAACGCAACAACAACAGCAGCATCAACAACGACAACAACGGCTCCCGCTGGATATTTCTTCACAATGGATTCCCAATTTGGGTTCTCGCGCGGAACTTCTTTACAATTTGTAGAGGAATCGCGCTCTCGCGTGGGATTTCCTCGCAGTTTATTCAGACGCCGCGCCCTCGACACTCAGGACTCATTTTCTCGGTGTCGCTGGCGCCCTCCTCCTTCTGCTGCTCCTCCTCCTCCTCCTCCTCCTCTTCCTCGTCCGCGTCCTCGTCCTCATCGTCGTCGTCGTCGTCGTCCGCCTCCTCCTCCTCCTCCTCCTCTGCCTCTTGTTCCTTTTCCTTTCCTTTTCCTCCTCCTCCTCGTCCTCCTCCTCCTCGCCCATCCCGATCTTCCCCCCTCCTTTCCGTCGTCGTCGTCCTCCTCCTCCTCCTCCTCCTCCTCCTCCTCCTCCTCCTCCTCCTCCTCCTCCTCCTCCTCCTCCCCCT